GACATTTTTTAAAATTAAATAGTTTAGCTAAAAGCTGAATCTCAGTCTTGTCCATCTTAGTTTGTAGAAGTGGTACTTTTAAATCTTGACATTGTTTGTGCTCTTTAATATTACCTTTTTATTGTATCACAAATGAAATACGTTGTACTTTGCTGTGGTAAAACATTAAGTGAAAACCTGAAATTAAAGTCTGGTTAAAATACAGTTTTTATTTTAATCAGTCACGATCTTTGAAGAAACTGAAGTGACTCATTACTAGTTTAAAGTTGATGCTTCATTATCTGCTTGTTAAAAAACTTGCCTCATACAAGCAGAGATTGTTGTGGAATAGTGTTGCCATGACTTCATAATATTTTCCTAAATATGCTTATTTTTATTTAGTCATTGCATAGCATTAGTGCTGGGAACAGGTTTTAGTATTAATTTATTCTTAGTCCATGAGAAAGTGGTTTATTAATAGAAATGCTTTGACTTCTCTGTTTCAAAAAAATGTGTATGGTTTTATCATTAATGTAAAAGTAAAACGAAAAGCTTTACATGATTTGTACAAATATATTTTTAAACATGATATAATGGATTTTAAGATATGCTTAAATACATATCATGCAGGATTAAAAATCTTATAATCTTTTGGACTCTTCAATTTATTTTCATTTTCAACCATTCTGTTTGCAATTTTTCAATCTTATCTTTGCCACTTCCCTCTTATTTAAATAATGGGTTGAAAATCTTGCTGGGTTTTATTCTGGGCCTTAATATCATACTAATGATTTTGTTTGTCTTCTATCATCTCCATTTTCCTTCTGTAGTACCGTGTATGACTTCAGATCGTGCATATTTTTCCTTGGCATGAAAAAGTAGTGAAATTCTCTGGATATGCATCTTTCTTGGTCTACCTTTCCTTTACCATATCAAAGTTGTTCAGCAATGCAGAGCAGAAATTTGGCGCCTGATCTGTTAGCATATCATTGGGTGTACCTATCCTACTGAACAGCTTCAGCACAGTATTTCATTAGCAATGACTTTGCAATTGATATCTACAAGGTTGTCTTGTTCTATAACCAAAGATACAGAATACAGGCAGTCCTCTACTTATAACCACAATGGAGCCCAAGATTTCTGTGGCTAACTGAGGCAGTTGTTAAGTGAATTTTGCCTCATTTTATGACCTTTCTTGCCATACTTGCTAAGTGAATCACTGCAGTTCAGTTAACAGTTGTTAAGTTAATCTGACTTGCCCATTGACTTCGCTTGTCAGAAGGTTGGAAAGGGTGATCACATGACCCTGAGAAACTACAACTGTCATAAATAGGAGTCAGTTGTCAAATATTTAGATTTTGATCACACGATCATGGGGATGATGCAACAGCCGTATGTTTTTAAAAAATGGTCGTAAGTCATTTTTTTTAGTAAATTCAAACAGTCACTAAAGGAACTGTTGTAAGTTGAGGTCTCCCTCTGCAAGATAACAGAGTTGGAAGGGACTTGGGGGATCTTCTAGTTCAATCTCCTGCCCATTTGTCTTGAATTGTATAATTCTATATGATTCCAGACAAACGGCTGTCCAATTTCTTCTTAAAAATGTCCAGTGATGAAGCATCCACAACTTCTGAAGTCAAGTTGTCCCATTGATTAATTGTTCTTGCTGTCAGGAAATTTCTCTTTAGTTTTAGGGTTGGATCTCTCTTGGATAAATTTCCATCCATTACTTCTTGTCTTCCCCTCAGTGCTTTGGAGAATAGATTGTCCTGCTTTTCTTTGTGAAAGCCTTTCAAATATGTGAAGAGTGCGATAATGTCATCCCTAATTCTTCTTCTGGTTAGAATAGACATACTCAGTTCCTGCAACCGTTCATCATATGTTTTAGCCTTCAGACCCCAAATCATCTTTTTGTTCTTCTCTGCACTCTTTCTAAAGCCTCAACATCTTTTTTGTATCATGGTGATATAACTAGACACAGGATTTCATGGGTGTTTTTATAGCAGTACTATCACTTCACATGATCTTGATATTATTCCTCTGTTGATTCAGTCTAGGACTGCATTGGCTTTTTTGGCAGCTGCAGCACACTGCTGGCTCATACTTAAATGCTTGTCTGCTGGGACTCCCAGAACCCTCTTACAGTTACTACAGTTACTACTGTTGAGCCAAACATCCAGCCTAGTCTATATCTGTGCATTGGTTTTTTCTTGCCTTTTCTCACCAGTGAATTGCATTTTGTTGGATAGGGCCCAGTGTTCAAGTCCATCGAGATCCTTTGTCTGTCAAGAACTTCTAAAGTGTTGGCTATTTCCCCTAGCATGGTGTTGTCCACAAATTTGGTGAGTTGCCTTTTTCTATCTCTTCATCTAAACCAGGGATGTCAAACTCGATTTTATTGAGGGCCACATGACAGTTGTGTTTGACCTTGGGGGGGTGGGGGGGCATGGCCAGGGTGAGTGTGGCCAGCTCAACATCACTCGTATCAGGGGCACCTGTGGTGGCCCAAGTGCTCTTCTAGCGAAAACGGGCTCCCGAGCTCCGTTTCGACTGCAACAGACTCTTGCAACCCTCTACCAGCGAAAATGGAGCTTGGGAGAGCTGAACCGAGCCCTCCTGAGCTCCGTTTTTGCTAGCAGAAGCACTGCAGGCTAATCCAGGGCAGTCCTGTGGGCCACATCTAAGCACCCCGTGGGCCGGATCCACCCCTTGAGTTTGACACCCCTGATCTAAACTGAAGATGTTGGAAGAACACTGGGCCTAAGACAGAACTTTGGGTACCGCATTGCTAACTTTCCTCTGTGTAAATATAGTCCCATTGAGGACTACATGTTGAATGTGGTTTGTCAGCCAGTTGCGAATCCATCTGGTAGTGATAGCTGGTAGCTGTCTATCCCACATTTTGGGGGCTGTTTTTTTTTCCTTTTGTGTACAGTCAGATGCAAAGAATGAATTAAGCAGTTCTCCTTTCTCGCTTTCACCTCCTTATCATTTTCTCCCATTAGCAGACTCATTTTTTTCCCCTTGACGTGTTTCTTGATTTTTACACGTTGAAAGAAACTTTTTTAATTATTATTTTTGACATTTGTTGCAACTCTTAATTCTCTCCAGGCCTTAGCTTTCCTGACTTCATCTTTGCAGATTCGGGCTACCTGCTGGTATGCTGCCTCAGTTATGTGCCCCCTTTCCATTTTTTATACTTTTCTTTTTGTCTTTCAGTTTAACAAACATATCTCTTTCAGGCCAATCTCTGGCACGTTGAACTGGGTATCTCCTATTTCAGTCTTCTGATCCCCCCCAGAACCCTCTGCACGAGGTAGATTTTGTTCCACATCTGGCCTCACTTTCATTCAGAACAATTCTCTGGATTGCCTGCTTCTCTCCTTTTGGAAGGAGAGAAGAGTATTCAGTGAACATCTTACTGTCCATTGCTCTTACTCGCTCTTCCTCAAGAGTCTTACAAAAGTATCACAGAGGTCATAAAGCACTTGTAGTTTCTACCTTTAATTCCCAATAAATATTTTAAGAAGAGGAAAACATTCAGTGAACATCTTATTGTACCTCGCTCTTCCTCAAGAGTCTTCTAAGCTGCTCTTAAAAGCAACAATGCCAATATTCATTTCATCCCAGGAGGCAGCATTGCCAGTCTCTTACAGATTTTATAGATTTTCAGCGGCTCGTGTTGCCTAAATCCATCTTAAATTTGCCAGCCAGCACATCCTCCCTATTAGGTTTCTCTTTCTTCCTCATCCCATGGTTCCCCCCTCTCCCTTTTTAAAAACTCTCTCTGCCAACTCAGCATCCCCACTTCCTTTCCCCCTTTTTTATTAATTTCTACCTAGTTCACTAGAACAAAGTGAGGGTGTTTGGCCTGCCTTTGTACCTCCTGAACAAATTCAGGAGAGGCACGGCACAATATACAAAACAAACAAAACCACAATATACAAAATCAATAGTTCTTTTGAGGCAAATGAAATAACAGGGATTGGTCAAGGGAAGAAATGTAGAATTGGCACTATTGTAGAAGAAATATAGTGCTAGAAAAGAGTGGTCTTGAAGCCCAAATAAATCCCAGTTATTTTAGTCATGTATTCCCCAAATACGCTTAGGTAATCAAAATTTTAAAAAATGCAATTCATGCCTATAGAGACTATTATATAGCTTAAAACAAGATTACCAAGGACAGTGTTTGTTATTGGACATAAATTAATAGTATGAAGATTGGAATGGGCAAGAAATTTCTGATGAATCTTAGCTATTGGGTGTTTAGATTCGATCAACAAAAGCTGTATTTCAAGGCAAAAATAAGTACAAAGAGTCAAAAGAGTGACTCTTAAGATTGTTTATATTGCAAGTTAAACTTGCAATTAAGATTAAGCTTTTCTTTTTATCCTGCTGAAGCTCTGGAGTGATTAGTCAGCTTTATGTTAAGTTAGAAGCTAAGTAGACATTTGTATGTGTCAGCAGATCTCAGAGTGCAATTTTATGTCATGGAAGAAACACGTACACATTGCGGCTGTTGATTCCTCTGCAGTTTTCTGAGACATAATTGTTGTTTCAATTAGTCTCTCTCATCATTTCTCAAGAATGAAACTGTTAGAATGGATTCTTGGGGCAGAATGTCACAGTTCATGTCCGCTGAAAAATATTCAGGAAAGCGCCAGTTATGCCCAGGCTTTGCCATAGCTGATGTCATTAAGAGAGATCAAAGGGGTTGCATCAGAAAAATTCAATTCCAGTTTTCTGACTAGCCAAATTTATGATAGCTGCTGTACTGTAAGATCTCATCAAGAGCTCTGCTATTCTGATGCAACATGACTTTGACATATGTTTTTTTTTCAGTTTTAACATTAAATGTATAGTTGCCCTTTAATATTTTATTGGTGTTAGCAGTCACCAGGATTTTATAAGGCCATGTTTGGCAGGATAAAAGAGAGATCAAATTGTATTTTTTTGTGTGTGTAAAGAAACGAGAGAAAATGTGTTTCTTATTAAACCATGTTTTTGTTTTTAATTTGCAGAATTTGAAGAACCAGGATTTACGGACACTGGATTGAGACAAGGTGGCTTGAGATGTCTGGCTCTTATGAGGATTCTGTTGAGGTTTTTAGTGGTAGCTTTTGGGAGGTAATTATAATTTTGTTTAAGCGTGTCTGAAAGAGAATGTTGATCGGCGGGTTGTGTAAAACATTGTGAGCTCAAAATGTTTGCAGCGTTCTGAACCTGAAACAGGAACACAGCTGTACTGTAAAACAAATTCAATGATTGGGGGAGTGTCTTTTCAGAAATGTGATAAAAAATTAATTGCTGCTACAGATAGTCCCTGATTTATGATCGATCATTTAATGATCAACTGAAATTACAATTACTTCAAAAAGAGTGCTTTACAACTGAGAGTGACTGGGTCAAAGTCACCCAGCCAGCTTTTCCTCACCGGCTTTCATGCCTAAGGCAGAATGAGTATAGGGGCGCAGTGGTTAGAGTGCAGTACTGCAGGCCACTTCTGCTGACTGCAGGCTGCCTGCAATTTGGCAGTTCAAATCCCACCGGGCTCAAGGTTGATTCTGTTCTCACCAAGGCTTCCTAGACCGTAATTATGCACACGCTTATTTTAAAAACAAGTCTAATTTTATTGCAACGCTGGAAATTGTTTTCATTCCCAGCCGGAATTAATCTCAAACAGTCCCTCGAGATAAGCACCCACCTTTCTTTCCTGTGAAGTGCTGCCAATAACAGAAGTATCAAATGAACTAGGAAAAAAACCAATCGAAGTACAAAGAGCTTCAAGAATGAATCTGAACCAAACGAACAACTTTGCTTCCTGCAAAGGTTTCGTCATCTTTGCCTGTCCTGTACACCTTATGGGAGGGGCAATCACCTCCCAGCCTTATTCCCGAGTCGCCCTTTTTTCCCCAGCTGCTCTCGCCTTCTAGCAGCTCTGTGCACACGTGCACTGGGAACAGGCTCCCCTTGTTCTTCTGCCTCACTGCTGCCAGACTCCGAAGGCTCTGGAGTCAGCACCCCACTCCCAGATGGTCCTGGCCCCATCTCTGCATCGGACGCAGGACCCTCGTCCGAGTCCTCGCCAGACTCCCGGTCTGATCCCCGTTCTTCCCCACTGTCTGATTCCTCTGCCATCTGCACAGGCTGCCGGTGAACCACAAGCGATTCATCCTTCCATCCTTCCGAGTTGGGTAAAATGGAAGTTCAATCATGTACGTTAAAAAGAAATGAAGACAATTTGATTCCAGCTGAAACGCGTTTGGTTGGTTTTCACCAAATTGGAAACTAGTTTTGACATTGCAAGATGCATTTGTAAACGTTTTATCCTTTTGATAGGTTGGAAATTACAAGCGGACAGTGAGGCGCATCGATGATGGATATAGACTTTGTGGTGATCTTATGAACTGTATTCATGAGCGTGCAAGAATAGAGAAGGGTTATGCTCAACAGTTAACCGAATGGGCAAAACGATGGAGACAACTTGTAGAAAAAGGTAAACATGATCATACTTGGGCATATCTTTTGGACCTCTTTTGACTACAGAAAATAGGTGTTCCAAGCACTGTTTTATCAAACTGGGAGGTATTTTAAATTTTAAGCAGTTTGTTTCTTCTTTGGAACTTTTCTAGAAAGATTGAAAGACCACAAGAACGCTTTCCGCTTAGATCAAAATGGCTAAATTTATGTTTTACAGGCAAAGAAATAAAGGGAGACTAGTATAGATCTGTTTCAAGCTATTTAGCTCTCATCAGCTAGCCATACCCTTCTGGGATTTGAACCCAGGCTACTTGCATATTAGGTAGATGTATTAACTTCTAAGCCACAGGCTTTCCCCACTTTGTCAGCTATAGCAGGGGAAAGGTTTTTTTGTCAGGGCAACTTGGTCTATCCAATTATGGGATGGAGCACACTGCTTCTGTGGAAGCAGTATGTTCCATCCCATAATCGGGTAGACCAAGTTACTCTGACAAAAAACAATCAAAATGGCTGGTTTCGAATTCAAACATTTTGCATACTTCTTGTGACAGTATTTAGCCAACCTTGTTTGGGCTTGGAAACTAACCAGTATAGGGTTAGTATTTGAGTGGACATATCCATAGAACACAGGGCTGTAGATGTGTTGTTGATATTTGTCGGGTGTGAACAATTAGATCCAAATGGGAAGAGTTCAAGTAGCTACTTTATTGCTTATTTGTATTTTATAGGAATCTTTTCAGATTTACAATTTACACCTGGGCCAGACTAGATAAGGTTCAGCTGCATTCAAGGCAGGGAGTGGAGGGATCATCTGATATATAAAAAGAAATACTAGGATTTAAATTTGGCTCAGAAGTGGAAAACCCATCCCAAAAGAAGGTGCAGGCAAACCATTTTCATTTCCATTTCCAAAAAAAAATCATCCTGGATACATCAGTGACATTTGCAGGAGTCAAGCTTCAGGGAATACAGTTACAATTTTTATCAAATGACCTGGAAGCTGATTTGTACGAAGGCTTTTAAAAAAGTAAATAAAACAGAAAATTTTGCAAATGTTTGCTTAACCATTTTAATCCTTAATCCTACATGGATCCTTTTAGATCTTTGCACTCCATTTGTGGAGGTAATAAATGACAAAGAAATACAAATAACATCTTGATAATACTTCAGAGAAACCATCAGTGGAAT